TAGCAATAGTGTCTCGTCACTTTATGCCAAATTTGCTGAACTAAGCGAAATGGAGAGACACCTGAGTGGATGTTATGGTGTTACGGCACAGAGAACAGATAACGGCAACCGTCTGTTGTAGGCACCTATGCTCAGATAACCACTTGTTTCTTGCAAATATTAAATTTAAGCATAAGGAAAAACATGTTTTGACACGGCAACGCCCCAATTCATGCCAACGTTTGACCGAACTAAATCACATCGCTATCAGCCATCGGTGGAGAGGCTGAATAGAAGACTGACGCTTGTTGTGGAGCACATGCTTGGATTCACATGATCCTCTAGTACGAGCACGTATTTGTATGCGTCTTACTGGACGTAGGAAAGGTGCTGCAAGAAAGCCTGTTAGGGTTGTACTTAGTGATGATAGCCAAGCTGAGTATATATTTGAGGAACAACTAGGAATACACTGATCAGCATACATCAGAGTAGTAGCATACTGTGAGACCATGTTGTCTGTGAATGTGACTAGGAAAGGCAGTGTCACTGGTCGGTGTTGTGCATTGCACCAAGTGTTCAAGTGACACGGAACGCTGTGAGAATGTGCAGAGTGTCACCTGTTGGTTATGTTGTGAGTCGAGTGATTGTGAACAGCTATGATGTGGTTGGGACTCGATCCGACGCCCATTAACACTGCAGGACAGATCCAACGCCTTAGACCACTCGACCACAAGAAAAATGATAGGAAATGCACAAAACTTATTCATCAGTATCAACATTTTTTTTACTTTAACCTCCCTTTATCCCATCTCACTCATATCCACCTTCATCCTACATCTATTTACACTGTTACTTTTTCCACTGACCCTGCTCACGCTCATTTATCAACCGTCCTCTCTAGTTAAAGCATTCGAGGTCACCGAATGTTATCGGCGATTACTTGATGCTACACTGGAAACTGCGTGATGTAGCTTTTAACGCCCGAATACTGAAGCAAATTCCACAACAGATTTCCTTAGCTAAGACTTTAGAATATCGCGCCGTCTTTGTATACTTCGTCACCGAAACGCGCATAGAGGATCTGAGTAGTTTCCGTTATTTGACCTCACCGTATCAGGATACAGAAGCATCTGGATTCATACCTTGTGCTGCTCCACATTGTCTTGCTGTGTTAGGTATAGCATTAAGTCATTCCTTGGTCAGAAGTAGCTCTCTTAGACTGCATCCCACTAGACAATCGTCATATATATATGTATATATCCTCTTAAATTGTTTATCATTGCTCTATATGTACATAATCCTCTTAAAAAGAAATTAGATCTCTCTTTATTAACTATTCTAAGCTAAGTCGATATATGTACTCATACAGTAGTATGATACTTGAGGGATAAATGATTTTTAAGTGATATGACTGAGAATCAATCAGTGAGTTACTTTCTCTAAATCTCAAATACATTATTTGTTTCATCTTCTTTACCTATTCAACCTAATTTTGTGTGTGCATAAGGTGTATTTACAAGTTTTATCTTCTACCTCATTGTCATTCAATCTTTCACCTTTAACTGATATATCTTTATATTGATAGGAGTTACTATTGTAATGAACGAGAACACAATTGAGGATAATCGAATGTATCTGAACACAAAATTACAGAACAACATAGAACCATAGTGTAAATATATAATTTAAATAATGTCAATCAATGATTGTTCCTTTTGCAAATATCAATCTATCGTCTCAGACTTCATTGTTCTTTCGTTTCCATACCAATCATTGTTTGTTCTCGTTTTCTTTTCTTTAATCTCAACTTTCTTCCTCTAGGTCTTTGCTATTTTACGAACAGCAACAGGCGTAAGTTTGTCAGCTGACTTTATCGGAATGGTATATTTAAGTGATTTAAAGCTAGCTACAGCAATTTTCATGTTCAAGCTAATGTCATACTGTCTCGGTTTAAGGATCATGTCTCTTAGCCATATTCTCTTATAGACCTAAGAGGGGATTCTGAGACAATCAACATTATCATACATATTTCTAGTGCCATCGGTTTGGTTTTGAATTTGTGTGGTTTAAATAATCAAGTAATCAAGTTATGCTTTCGGTTGTACTCTCATTTACTAGATTTAAAGAGCTTTAAATTCAAATCACATTTAATTTTTACCTCTAATCCCTTCATGTCTATCAACTAGTACAGCGGAGTCGGAAAACGGTCCAAAGTTACAACGAGTTGCTGCCTCAACTAAGAATTGCAAAACTTCCACTAGTAGTATAAAAACACATGCAAAATCGTCAGGCGTTCGTGGCAGGAAATCGATTTCGTCTGGTGAGGTGGCAAATCGCAAACGCCAGGAATTCAATGAACTTGTTGAAGCCCGCACTGAGAAGCTTATGTCCGATGGTCCCATTGCAAATGCAAGTATTTTATTTTTACTCCACATTCATAATTTCTCATTGATAACGCTTTCTTGCACCGCAATGTTCTGCCCTTATAATTACTTTTACACTTACTTCACACTTTCGAATTTCGTTGATATAAAGTGTTGCCTTGCTGTCCTAGGTTATGCGTCAGTTCAGTCATTTTGTTGTTTCGAAAGTTCCCTATTATATTAAGCAACAACATTTTCATTTTCAGATCTCTATTAAAACTATTATTCATAAACATATGTGGTGATTATGTTCACGAGAATAATACGGTGACTTTCACTTGTTATGTTTCCGTAATTCATTATGAGTGGTGCACGGGTAAAATCCTGAATAGTAAATGAAATGTACCCAGGTGATAGATACTCCTGTGACCGAAATATTGATGTAGCTCTTCAATAAGCTGATATCAAAAACCAAGACAACTGCCCACTAGAAGAGATATTTTTTTAAAAATAAAATAACACGTTGATGTACAAAGTATTGCCAGAAAAATAAGTATAATTCAATACTATAGGCGAGTAGAGTAAATCCATTTTGAAGGTGTTTAACTCTACAACGTATATAAGACCTTCCCTATCATATCAATACTCTTCAGAAATACACCTTACTCTTACATCTTTTCAACTTCTCTGCAAATCAAGTTTTCATCATGATTGATGTAGTGTTATCTGGTTTACTAAATATTATATTATGATTAGAAACAATCTGTAATCTTCACCAATCTTCTTCTATTAAGCAACATAAATTCTTTCAGTATTTCCCCTAATTTTTAACCGGAATGATTCATCAAAACTATAACCACAACTATCGTTATACTTTTTCATTAATAATTAAATATTCATTTTATATTAAAAATGTACTGTATTCAGATTCAACGGAAATGTTTATTTACCACATTCATAGTCTTTTTAATGACACAATAGTATATATAGTCCATATTATTATTTTGACAACTGTTTCACAATGTTTTAGAAATTCTGTAGCGTTGCCAACTTCATTGACGTTTGTTGTGGGTACACTACTCGAAAACCGATACCATGCAGATAATATAATATAGTCATGTTGAACAGAAACTTAATTCTTCCGTACGGTCTACATGGTAATCCGAAAATATCTGGGCGATATCTTATACATCTAAACTCAGAATACTACTGCCTTGCAACTTGTTTATCTCAATGGTTAGGTCGACAGTTGCCAGTAAAGTTCAGTGTGTGTAGTTGTCGTCACTTGTGTTAGAAGTCTGTGCAACCTTGGTTATTTCATAGTTGGTGAAATCTTGTTATCGATTTCATTTTCATCAAGTTGATTCATCTTCCCCACAAGTGCTTGTTAAAAACAAAAAACAGGTGTGCTGTTCAGTGTTTCGATCTGTACTGCATTACTAGTGTAGGGTGTTTTCTTGGGATATAAACTATGTTTGCATTACAATAATCTGGTCAAAATTATCATGAAATCACTACCCGCGCATGTTGGAACCACTGAAGTAGTTCCGAAGTTAAGCAGATGCCACTGATGTTTCCACAGCTTTTCTAATATCATTCCACGCTGCCTCGAAGTGAGCATCACTTACATGGCTGCCTAATTGTTTTCACGAAAAGCGAATGTAGTGCACAATGTTATGGGGCTTAAGTTAGTATGAAATAATAATCAGAAGCCCATGTAAACATTTGTTGTGCGAATAAAATATTTAGTGTAACTTGAATCATGAACTGGATTGGGAATAGAACTTGTAAATGAACAAACTATTTTTACGAATGCTTATTGTGAAATTCAAATCACTCTCTGATGTTGAACGTTCACAATTTTTTCTTTATAAGACAAATCTTTTTCGATGTTAACAGATGACTGTTGTCTAAAGTTGATCTCTTTAAGATATTCCGTTTGTATACATGTAGGCATGATTATTTCATATATTTGTCCAATGAAATGGTATATAACATAAACGTTGTAATAAGAGCAAGAAATAAACGTCTAGAAAAACAAAACCCCATTCTATTTGGTAGTAGTAATGAATACATTCAGTGAGATAAAACCCACGGGCGCAGAAAACTTATACAATATACAATAAAACTACATAGCGCGGAGAAAAATAATAAACTACACTATCAGTTAATCAAAAGGAACATAATCATAAATGAATCTTTTCAAAGTTATTGCTTTTATTATCGTATCTAGAAATTCAAACTAACATCAATATTTAGGAAAGTAAAACAATTAACCGCAAAAAACTAATGTAGATAACTACAAAACTGACATCAGAACGTTTATTGGTGTAAATAATGTCAGACTGCAGAGCGTAGATTCGCAAAGGAGTCTGTGTGTGTGTGTGCAGAGAGAGAGAGAGAGAGAAATAATATAATGGAGTACTTACATACAAATTCATTTTATTGTTTATTGTTTCTAAAAAGAAAGTAACTAAAGAACATCAAACGATAATCTGTTATTTATTAAAAGTAAATCACTCCAGTGGTAACGCATTTTATTCCACGGTAATTTTTAAAATGTTAACATCACAGAAACACAGCAGAGACATATTATCACAGTTACATATACTTCACGATAAATTAATTAGACCATGTTGTACAGAAGGTTTCTGGTTATTACCGTAATATTCATCCATCTCACCCTGTTCCCGAATATTATTTATTTCATACCGACGTTGTTCATCCTCCATATGTGCACAATATGAGTAGATGCCATACAACACGCGTAATACAGCACTGCTATCGCCTGCAACAATTTCTTCAAGTTTTGCTGCAGGTTCAACCATACCAGCTGCTTGAATAAGTTCAAAGGCTAGTTTAACATTTGATGTACACAATTCTTCTGTTGTTGGTGTTGGATGATATGCATGAAATGCTACAAAATAGCCATCAATAAGACCCATTAAATAAAATAAGTAAGACACCATCTGTAAACTAATGATCGTAGAATGAATAAAATGGGAACATTTCCTTCAGTTAATTATAAAACTAAAGAAAATAGATTCTACAAAACTGTGTAACTCGAAAACCAACCAGACAGTCGTACAATACACTAAGTTAAATTTATTAGGTTACAGATACATGTATCATCTGTATAAAAAAACTTTGGTGTGAACCAATAACATCAGTCAATCAGTCAGTCAGTCAGTCGGCTACAACGTAGGACCAGGCACATATATGCATCGATTCAAGTTGCCATACCGCATTAGCACAGCAAGATGAACACCCGATTCATATTATTATTATTATTATTATTATTATTATTATTATTAATGGCTTTTTTCAATATTATATTTTGGTACAATATCGAATTCTCAGCACAGGGTATTTCAACAAGTTACTTACTGAACAACGAACTAAAATGGCAGTAGCAAATACATAAATAAATATATAAAATAAAAATTTTAAAAAAAACCCAAAAGAAACTACAAACTTTTAAAATTAAAGGCATGTTAAGAATGTAAGTTATTGACTAAGTTAATTCTAAAAACCTGTTCGTCACAGATTATATTTGCTAGGTAAGGTATTATAGAACTTTTATACTTTTCCTTGCGTGCAAGGATTTTAATGTAATTACGTCTCGTTCTAACAGAAGATATACAAGGAGAAAGATAAGAGTGAAGGGGATGGTTAGTATCTGATAAAGTAACACCTGCCAGGAGTTTGCATGATTTTAAATGTCTATCCACAACCATATTAATTATGACCTCGAAAGATTCACCACACGTCTTACTAACTGCCTTTAGCACTCTTCGCAATACAGCAAAGTCTTTTCTCAAAAGCCCGAGAAAGAATAATGGAGAACAGTAAAGAATAATAGGTAATATGCAAGAATTGACAAATTGTAAGAGAAAATGACGAGTAATTCCAAGAGCATGCAATCTCTTTATGTAGTAGGTCAGACGGAAAACCTTCTTTGATAACGATAAAACGTGGGAAGACCAAGACAGATCAGAGGAAAAGGTGACACCAAGATAATTGACCTTCGACACCGCGTTTATCAAAGAGTCTCCGATGGTACAAGCACTATGGGATCTCAAAATAGTGTTTATATTCCGTTCATGTCTCATACTAAAGTTAACAGCTTGACATTTAGATGGATTAAGTATGAGACCATTACCAACAGACCAACAATCAATACGAGACAAAAACTCATTCATTTCTATGGGATGTAAAGAGGAAGATATAGGCATACATACAGTGAGATCATCCGCGTACTTCATAAAAGTGTTTTCTGTGGAAGATGGCAGGTCATGCAGAAAAAAAGAGAATAGAAGAGGTGAAAGAACAGCTCCTTGTGGTACACCTTCCTGAGACAGTAGAGAATCTGAACTCTTTCCTCCAAACACAGTGTACTGTTCCCTTCCAGAGAGGTAGGAACACAGCCAGTTGGTTATCCATCTGTCAGTGTTGACGCTGATTAACTTTTTAAGTAAACGTTGTCTTGGTATAGAGTCAAAAGCTGAAGTATAGTCTAGAAAAGCACATCGAACATAGTTCTTACCCTTTTCTAAGTTGAACACTATGTTGTGATGCAGAACTGCAACAGCATCTAAAGTGCTTCTTTTGCGCCTGTATGCAAACTGGTATGGGTCAGTATGCTCTTTTATCGCAGGCTGAAGTGGAAGTATTAATAATTTTTCCATGGTTTTGAGGAAAGGTGAAGTTATTGAAATAGGTCTAAATTTTACATTCTTATCACCAAATGCTTTCTTGGGTACAGGAATTATCTTCATCTTTCTCCACATTTTTGGTATGAGATTAGATGAGAAAGATCTGTTAAAAATAGTTGTGAACGGATGACACAGAACGTCAGCACATTTTTTAAAAAGGATGTTTGGGATACCATCAGGACCCAAACATCGAGATGAATTAAGCGACTGGAGACATCCTCGTACATCAGTTTCAGTGAACGTATGAACACAGCTATTTTTTAAACCCGTGGATAGAGGGAGCATCACATCAGATGACTGACGTACAAAAGACTTATTTAAGTCACAAACATTCAGCTGGTTATCGCTTCTAAACTTTCTGTCACCTGTAAGTTCTTTAAAGAATTTCCACATACTTGGAGAGTTTTTGCAAGATAAGAGCTTTTGAGTAAACATGCAGTTGAGACGTCTAATCTCTAGGTTTATCAGACCATTTAGCTTACGAACTTCATTTGAGTTCTTCTCTTTGTACATTCTTTCTTTAATCCTCCGTAGTCGTTTTCGTTGTGAAGATGTGAGTCGATCAAAACTTACAAAAATGGTTTCAGTGGGACAACAAATATCAAAACAGAATTTAAGGTAACAAGTGATAACATCAGTAGTGTTTTCGAGTGAGTCATCTGTAAATAATTCCCAGTTAGTCGTATGAAACATGTTTTTTAGATTTCGGATATTTTCTTCTGAGTAATTCCTATATTTGACTTTCTTGGTTTGATGTAAGAGTGTACTCTTCCCATGCTTTCCATATACTTTAGGTAGAACACGAATTAAACAGTGATCTGAGCTAGACAATGGAGCACGTTTACGAGTCGCATATATACCCACATCATTAATGAAAACGAAGTCTAAATGAGCATCCAAACGAGTAGGAAAATCTACTACGTTTTGCTAACCTAGTGACGTAAGGAAGCTACAGTCACATGAATTAAAATCACCGCATACAACTGAAAGTGAATCACTGAAGGCAGTAACAGCGAACTCAGTGAATTCATCAGCAAAAACAGATAGTGCAGATGATGTGCAATCTGGAGTGACATAGATATTGGTAACATAAACATATTTGTATTTATTCAGATGTTTTGGACGACATCTTAGAGTTAGACAGTCGATAAAGTCATTTGAAAACTTAAAACACACAAACGAAGATCGACACCAGTTTATGTTTACAAACGTAGCTACACCGCCACCACACCTTTTTTATTGTTCGATCGATCCTGACGATAAATTTTGAAATCATGTAGTGATACAAGGCAGTCATCCTGTAAATCATTCAACCAAGATTCTTGAATTGTGATGACACCACAATTACGATACGTATTTTGACTAAGCAGGAATTGCAGATAGTCCACTTTGTTGATTAGAGATCGGCAGTTAGAATTTAGTAGCTAGGGAATCGACATACGATTGATGTTCATTCTCTTTAACGCATATTGCCAACCACCACGATGCCTTTTATAGTACTTTTTCGTAACTTGTGCAGCGAAAGGTCGTAGGCTTTTCATAAAAGCGCCTGAATAGGTTATGCGATTAATGTACATCATTATAAATTAAAACAAATAAAAACAGATAACTTGTTGAAGTGATCAGATGGCAGAAACAGTTAGCCCAGATATTCAAACAGGCCGCCATTGCACGCAGACAGTCAATAGTGGTAATATATGAAAGATTGCATATAAGGATATAGTACAGGAAGAAAGATTTAGTACATAGAAAGGAAGATATGAAGCGATTTTAATCTCTTAGTTTAAGGGAAGACAGACAGTGTATACACCGACGCCACTGTCATCGATTCTGAGCCATCTCACCAAGAGTCTACAACCATTGGTTACGATAGTCACGTGGACCCTAACTGAGTAGTCTGCATCTACCAACATGGCTCACACCAGATGTTAGTGTCTTCAAGCACCAATGCCACGTTTTGGTTTGGCCACCCCTAACTTTCTTCCAACCATCCCCAACACCCGTTAGCATTGCACGTCGTGGTAATCGGTGTTCAGGCACACTCAACACGTAGCCCAACCATCTCAGTCGATGAAGACTCACAACCTCATCAACTGATTTACCATACCCTATCTAACCTCACTGTTACTTACCCGGTGATACCAGCAGATGCAAGCAATATTTCTAAGACATCTGTTTACTTATTTATTTATTTAAACATATAAACATTAGTACAAGGAGGCACCAAGTAGATATGCGCCACACAAATCATTTGACTTGTGTGAGGGCTGGGATACTGCCCGGGTGCCCAAACCGAAGCAGGTGGTTTTCTTAGGGGGCCACACCCCAAGCCTTTGACCTAAAGGTCTAACCCACAAGGCAGTGGAGCATCGTGAGGAGATCCAGTCCCATGGTGGCCGGTGGCCAACGATTGGTTCATACGCCATTTGTTCCCTCAGGATACTGGAGCCCATGTGCAACATTGATTTGGTTTGGGGTCCGGTTAAAGCGCCGGACATTCGCTTTTCGTCCTCTCATTTTCGCAAACAACACCCCTGTCACGAGAAGGCAGTGAGTAGGACTTCCCTGGCAGAGGCTGTATACGCGTGGCCATGTGAGAGCATTTCGAAAGGGGAGGTGGGCCCACCCCACTCTCGGCCATACCAGGGCATTTGGGGGCAACACATCTGTGGTCAAACACTAGTAGCTTACGAGTGTCTTCTACTCTTAATGGCCATGTTTCGTGGCCGTAAAATAGAGCAGAACGAACTGCCGCGCAGTACACTTCTCCTTTTATTGATAGACGGATATCTCGCCTTCACCATAGATGACGTAAGTTAGCAAAAGCAAAACGAGCTTTCCGAATCCGTGCTGAGATTTCGTCAGACACCAACCCATTAGGGCTAATTAGACTTCAAAGACAAGTGAAGTTGTCAACGCGTTCGACTACTTCACTCCCTATATTTAGTTCAGATGTTGGCGCAGGCCAGTCCTGGAGCAACAACTTGCATTTAGAGGGAGAGAAGCTCATTCTAAACATTCTGGTATAGTTGCTTAGTGCCACCAGAAGACTCTTCATTTTATCAGTGTCTTCACCAAACAGGACTATGTTGTCTGCGTATTCCAAGTCGACAAGTGGACCTCCTGGAAGGAGATCAATACCCGAGAATTCAGTCGACGTGAATGTTATTTCCATCAGTAGGTCTGTGATGAAGTTAAACAAAAATGGAGAAAGTGGGCAGCCTTGACGGACGCAAAAGCAGATGACAAGTCGCCATCAGCTCTGACTCGACTAGTGGTGTTCGGGTAAAGAGCCCTCACAAGGTTTACGTACTTCTGAGGTACGCCTTTCAATGACAGGCACTGCCACAGAATGTCGCGGTCTACGGAGTCAACTGCTGCTTTTAAGTCAAGAAAGACCACCATTGTCGGACGCCAATAAGTATGCCTGTGTTCTAGAACCTGACGAATGGTGAATATGTGGTCTATGCATCCATGACCAGGTCTGAAGCCAGACTGATTTTCTCGTGTCTGCAGTTCACGAGTCTTAGTTGGGCGTCCAATAATTATCGAGGCTAGTACTTTAGATACCATATTAGTTAAACTAATCCCTCTATGGTTGTCACAGGATGATTTTAACCCTACCTTATATATTGTGACGATAAGTGATTGTGACCAGTCAGATGGAATAACGTCCAACTCCCAGATCTTAGCCAAAATATTAGTCAACCTAATCGCTAAAATTGGTCCACCATCCTTAAAGACCTCTAGAGCCAATCCATCTGGACCAACTGCCATTGCTCGTTTCAGATTAGCTATAGCCTTTTGAACTTATGCTAGAGTTGGGCGACCTACTTCAATGTTCCATTCACACTGTCTGGGAATGATGGGTAGTTGTAGAGTAGCTGGAGGCCAACTGAACTGCTTTTTAATGTGTTTCGCCGATCTTTCTAAACGTCTGGACTGGGAGCAGATGAGTGTCTCTCGTTGGCTCTCCGTTTTCCCGAGGTGAGCTCAAGTGAATGACCACACTGAAATCCTGTATGCGTGTTTCAGAGACACAGCATACATCAATGGTACGGGATTCTAGGGTTTTAGCCAAGGAGGCCTGCTGACCGATTTGACATAGTGTGTGTACGTTGAAGGCTCCGATATGTAGTTTGGAGCGAGGTTTCAGTAAACCCGGGACAGTGTTTTGAGCACTAGAATTGTTGGCTATGGTGACACTTGAGGAGGAAGCCAAAAGAGGAAGTTTAGAGTTGAAAGTCGATGTAGGAGGAATTGAAGAAAGAAGTTTATTACGAATACAGTGGTCTTGAGTGCCGTTAGAGGTATGAGGGCGGTTCCCGGTTGCTCACACCATGGAAGGGTTCTTCTAGAGGTGCCTGGAAAGGAAATTGAGTTAGAGGTGGTCTTAGTGACATATGTGAGGTTGAGAGCGAAGATTATCAGAAAGCTGAAATAATGAACTGGTCGTCGTGTCAGTTGACTAAATCTTCAATAAGTAATGCTAAATAATTGTTCAGTTGTTACATGTCGGTAAATGTATTGTGATGAGTGTTTATAAAACATGATAGTAGGCAGAGCTTCAACGACAAAACATCAGATTGTGAACCAACCTGTTAAAATCTGAAGAGTGGTAGGTTTCTGAGAATACCAGTCAGTCATAAATGTAGAACCTGTACGTATGTGCATCTGTTCAAGTTGTCATACCTCATTAACACAGAGATAAATTTGTCAGGCCAAATCTCATGATAGTACAGGCAGTAACAGTAACAGTGGGAATAGAAAAAACTAAGCGTCGAACAGACGACCTAAAAAGAAAATCTAAATAAGCGCAATATAAACAAAAATATGTTATGAGGAATGTAGAGTTTCATTATGTGGGGGAAGACAAAAAATAGATGCACATGCGCCATTCCAAACAATTTTGAGCCATGTCATTCAAAGTCTGACCATTGGTTACGATAATCACGCGGACCACAACCAGGTAATCTATACTTGCTAACATGGCTAAGTCCAATTGTCAGTAACATCACGTACTGATGCCATGTTTTGGCTCGGTCGCCCCTATCTTTCTTCTAGCTAGCAACTGCTGCACCAGAAAACATCACTCGTCGAGGTAAACGGTGGTTGGGTATACGTATACGTAACACATCCCAACCACCTCAGTTGATGAGGACTTACTACCTCACCAGTCGGTTCCCTATCCTCACCTGGCACTCTATTCTTAACCCAGACATTGCTTACTCCGTGGTTGCAAAGCAAAATACACGGACAATGCTTCGTAGACACCTATAACCAAATGCCAGTGACCCACTAATATCCTTTACTCTTAATGGCCACGCTTCATATCCACAAACTATAACGGAGCGAACGGCTGCGCAATAAACCCGCCCTGTAACATGACTTACCTACGCACCCTATTACTTCTAAACAACCCCTCACTTGTTTTGATAACGGAAAGTCGGCTGTCCTCCGATACCACAGACACATATCTACAAATAGACACCTATGAGCTCTTCCGCTGTGATCGAGTCACCAAGAAGGGTGGTGGTTGTCTCGTCTATGTATCAAAAAATTTGAGGGCGGAAATCTATAGCGACCACGTCCTCAGCAAACTTCCTGAATCGATACGGCTTACTGTGCACACTCATGAGTGTAAAATACTAATCGGATGCATATATCGAGCTCCAAACACTCCTAGTTCAACTGACACTATTATAAGTGAGTCATTTGCTCAGGCTGCCTCGCTTGACTTCACTTACAAAATTGTATGTGGTGATTTCAACCTTCCCACCATCAACTGGAAAACACATTCTGGCCCATTGTGCTTTGAAAGCATACTTAGGTCCTTAGACATACACGGCTGGCAACAACATGTACACCTGCCTACACGAAATCACAACATTCTTGACTTGATATTCTGTCATAATGTCACACCAACATCAATGGTGGTTGGCGAAAAGTTTCACAACAGCGATCATAAAATAGTCCTCTGCACCCTTCCGATTCTTGCCATATGCAACAAATTAAAGACATTAAACACGCGATTCCAATATAGAGACTATGCAAACGCTGACTGGGAAAACTTTCGATTTCTAATAAAGCACTCTGACTGGGGCAGTTTCTTTACCAGTAATAACCTCTTAGAAACATTAGAAATATTCAATATCACCACCAAATCTGCACTAGACACTACTATACCCTCTAAAATTGGTTTTAAAACAATTACTCCCTATGTAAACTAAAAGACTAGGTCTAAACTACGAAAACCGAAAAGGATGTACTAAATATCAAAAGACTTCAGTGCCCTGCACCAGATATACTCTGTACTTGACGGAGTACAAAGTCAACACAACAAGCATAAACAGGTAGAGGAACGTACTGCGCTCGCTGCTGCATCTAAAGCCCAAGCCCTATGTCGTCTCCTCACGAAACGCATAAGAAAGAACACAGACCACAACATTCACTCCTTACTGCACGATGGAGTAACGTATAATGACCAAACCGTCATATGTGAACTATTAAGTGAATGGTTTCCTCACAATGGGAATACATCTGATGCTCCAGATATCGACATAAAGTGCACCGGCAAAAACTATCTTAGTACCATAAACTTCGACATTAGGAGTATACATACCGCCATTAAAACCCTTAAGCCAAATGCGAGTTCTGGTGCCGATGACATCCCTTCAATCGTTTATAAAATGTCAGGACCGGACATACAGACGCTACTACTCAAAATATACACATTATCTTTAGAGACAGGTACATATCCGGAAACCTGGAAGGTAACGTATGTTCTTCCCAAACACAAATCCGGACCGAGAAACCTGGTTGAAAACTACAGACCTATAAATATCACTCCAGTCATATCACGCATAATGGAAAAACTGATACAAAATCAACTATCTGATCACCTACTCAAGGAAGATCTAATAGACCCGTCACAACACGGCTTCATTAGAACAAGGTCGTGCAGTACATGCCTGATAGACTTCTTTAACGAGGTTACTCGTATACGTGACCAGAAGAAACTAGTTATCATACTATACCTCGATATTAAGAAACCCTTTGATAAAGTACTTCATAATCTTCTAATCAACAGACTTAAGTCAGTTGCAATTATAAATCCCCTTTTGCAATGGATCAAGTCTTTCCTTACGAACAAATATCAAATAAATAACATTAACTCTAAAACATCTACACCTCGACCAATAACCAGTGGTGTTGTGCAGGGTAGTGTCTTGGGTCCATTGCTCTTTATAATCTACATCAACAATATATGCAAGTGTTTTAGCACAGGTAAGACCTACCTCTATGCCGATGACTTAAAAGTCATCTATAAAACTGACATTTGCGATTTACGCAGTACTATGCAAACAATCCAACATGAACTCAACATGGTAGACAACTGGTGCAAACGCTGGAGGTTAGAGCTCAACACAGAGAAATGAGGCTGGTTATGTATAGGAGACACATCTCTTAAAATGAAACACTTAGCAATCACACACTGCCCAGACTGGCATCAGTAACTCACCTAGGGGTACATTACTCACACAGTCTTAATATCTCTGAACACATCTCAGCCAAAGCATCCAAAATGCGGAAATTCCTTGGCTTTATTCTCCATAATCCCTATCAAAATGAATCTAAAATCCTTCTTTACAACAACTATCCTACAATATACCCTTCTTAACGCTAATACTCTGATTGGCAAACTATACTTTATAGTATAGTCAACAGAGGCACTGCATCGATGCTTTACCCACAGGGAGGTTGATTATGAATGCAGTGGTCTTGAGTGCTGTTAGAAGTATGAGGGCGGTTATCACTTCCCGGTTGCCCACACCGTGGAAGGGTTGTTCTGGAGGTACCTGAAAAGGAAATTGGATTAAAGGTGGTCTGAGTGACCTGAGAGCGTGACCGCAGTGCCCAAGGGACAACTGCTTGAGGTCGGTCACACACGACCTTGTTATGTTACCCACAGTCCATAGCTTGTAACTGCCTGATAAGCTTGTAAAATGGTACTAATAGAAATAGTGCTTTCCAACAGGTTGTGAAACAGAGGATTGTGTGAGGTATGACGTATATACAAAAATAAGCCTAAATGAGCCTAACATTACAAAAGGAGGGAGGGTGGAGTTACTGACCAGCAAGCATTGATGGTGAGGGCGATAACTTCAATCCACCCGTGTTTGTGGGGACAGAACATTTTGTATGTATCAGGCTCCTCATGATTGAGAATAAGTCAGTCAATCTGTGATATAAATTGTCTTCGTACGCTCACCACTCAGACTCATGTTTCCAATATTATGCTGGATTAGCTATTCTACTAAGACAACCTATAACATGCTAACTCGAACTTTCACACTAGGATTGTGTAGCTGGCATCGGACAGACGAAAAAATAAAAAAATTAGATAACAAAATATATAGTCATTAGTATTCTTAACACTTCACCCTCTATATACACACCCTCCTAATAAACCGCTTCCCTTGTACCAACCTTGACTTCCCTTCCTTCATGTGAGCTTACTCCAACTTGTTAAACGACACAACTCATTGTTCTTCATTAGTACATTCTCTAATATGGAGCCTCTGACTTCACTTCATTCTAACAAGACATAATATGAATTTATTCTAATTTATTATACCTCTGTCCGTTCTACTACACAATGTTAAGCAACGTTTGGCGTTCATATCCAAGTGCCTTGCTGCTCTTCTGTTTCTCTTTTTTTCCTCTTCAGAATCTTGCTCTGAGAGCACAGCTATGAAACTTCTGACGTTTGGAACAAACTTGACGTACGCGTCCTCTCAAGGTCATAGTTTACAGCAAGCGCTCTACGATATCACTTTATAGATTCCGATTCAGATTCACATTTGTGTAGTAAGGACAGAAGGCCTACGGCCTTTGTTATACCTTTTCTAGTATGCTTCTGTGAGTGTCCAGTCTTCTCTTGAAAGAGTCAATTGAAGGTGCGGACACCACTGCTTCAGGCAGCAGTTTCCAAGTATTGATGACTCGGTGTGAAAACCTGTATGCCACGGGTATTTAGTTCGTTCTTGGCATTTCTACTCGCCTGCTATGTCCTCTGAGGTGTCCCGATCTGGTGGGAAGAAAGAGCGAGAATAAGTTAGGTCCGAAATCATTTCTCAGTATTCTGTACATCAATATTAGATCTCCCCTTAGTCTGCGATAGGACAGAGTAAACAGGTTCAGTTCTTCACCTTTTAAACAGGGGCTTGCAGCCTGGACACAGTTCTCTAACTTAGTTCTCACTAAGGATGTGTATAATGTGGTGAACATGGTAGTATCAAACTTAGTGAATGTCCTTTTTGAAGCCCAGAGGGTTCGAAACCCCTTAACTGCGACCCCCCTGCAATGAGCCGTCGTCTTAAGATCATTGCTCACTGTCACCCCTAGGTTGTACGTATTAACCTTTGAATCCCCCAAGTGCATGTAGACACACTTTTCCGAGTTGATAGGCATCAGCCACTCTTTAGACCAGTTTATCATATTATTTAAGTCCGCCTGAAGAGTTAATGCGTCTTTGTCTCCAGTTGCTACTCGCCAAATTTTTACATTGTCAGCGTATAATAACATTGGAGACTGTACTATACTTGTAAGATCATTAACGTACATTATAAAAAGTAAAGGACCTAAGACGGAACCTTGGGGTACTCCACTAA